ACGAGCAGCTTGCCTACTGAAGGGCTTTCGTCACCTGGGGAGCTCACACAGCTACTGAGCCTGAGAAGGTCACCGCTCTCAGGAGCTCCACAACTTTTCCAGAATCTTCCCTTGGTCCTTGAGGCAGGCATAATGACCTACAGCATCTACATTATCCCAGACATAGGGATGTAGCAGCAGATGAATGGACATAGGATAGGGTCTAAAAGTAGGCAGCACATCTCTCTTGTAGGGGCCTGGAAGAGTGTACCATTCTAAGCCAGGCCAAAGCTCCTAGCTGTACTTTAAAAAATGCATAAGGAAGGCTAGCAAAGGCAAGGTGGCCAAGACTAGGAATGGGCAAGAAACAAGGAAAGGAGCTTAAAAAAATCATCAGTGATCTCATCTTGCTAGATGGGTGGATTTTTTGTTTCTTCTGCGTTATATTATATAGTTCATAAGACCCAAGCCTGGGGGTCATGGGCCTGGTGAACCTGTGCAGACTGTTTTTCTCCTGGGGGTGTTAGATGACAAGGAACTGAGGTGCTGGAGAGCAGCTGACTCACAGGGCAGTACCTCCCCCTCCCCCAGAGGTGCGAATCAGAAATCCATTCCATGCTGCTGGGTTTCCGATTCTATCCTACTAAACTAAAGCAAAGGCCTCAAGAATCAATGGGAAAATGTTGGATTATGTTCAGAATTTAGCAAGGCACCAAATGGATTACCAAGTCACTTTGAACCCTGAGTTGGTTTTTGAACTTAATTTGCACAGATGCACTCTAAGAAAGCTCTTTGCTCATCGTGGCTTTTTAAAAATATAATATACATATTTAATCAATGACCCCCAGAAAGCTAGGGTCAGCTTGAACACACTCCTAGCCTTCCTTTGGGAAGTAAAGCAGCTGTATCATATTTTTCTTTTAAAAAGAATAAAATGTATATCCTCTCTGACATTTAGCTTTTAAAGCAATTGTGAAAATTCTATCACTGTGTTTGGTATGTTCCCATCTTGGCATAAGACATATGAGCAATCTATTGATTTTCCCCATCATTTCGAACACCTCACTGCCAAGGTTCGGCTTGACAGTCTTTAACCACAGCAGGACCTAAAAGTGAGTGGCATTCCAAACTGGAACTCTCCTGACCGCCCAAAGGCCCAGTGATGACTTGGAACTTAGTTCCCTCTCCAACATCTGGCCTAGGAGCAGGTCAGGTCTCAGGCACTGGGGCAGGTCACAAGGGCTGCTGGGGTCCAGTGTCTACCCACAAGCTTACAATGACTTTATCTTCCTAAAGGAGAAATTAATGTATCTAAGGTTTATTGATCAGCCTATCGTGATTTAGTGAGTCGGCAGAGAATGGGGAATGAAACCAATTTCCTGGCATCATTTCCCAGGCATGCTACCTTGTGATGCCTGGACTGCAAGCCAAAAATCCATCTTAGGGAATTTGATCAGAGAACAAATGACAGGTGGTTCCAAAACCACAGAGCACTGAGAACGTCATAAAGATGTATAATATATGATAGCATTTACCAGCTATAAATAGGAGAGATGGGAGATGCAGGGAGAAAAATAGAGACCTTGTAAATCTATTGGGTCAGGAGAAATAGAAACTGCTTAATATTTCATTAAAATGGATTTTCATAAATTGCACTTTGACATCTTTGGACAAAAGACAGTAGATAAGGACTAGGGTGTTGTTATTCATTACTCTTGGTTATTAATAATTTGAACTGTTATTGAACCAACACATCAACAAAGTATATCCTGCCTGTGAATGGAGCACTCACCATGTGTTCTGGGCACTATCTGAAGTGAATTAAATAGCCGCAGCAATTGCCCACAATAGCACTTAGATTATAAGGAACAATGGGTCATTCGAGTGCCCTTTTACAAAGTGGATGTTCTTAGAGGACCTCAAACTGTGAAGACTCTTGTGGAGAAAGCTTAGAGTCTGCTGGCCAGAGAGGGACCAGGAAGTCGACTTCTGCAGAGCCCTCACTCACAGTGAAGGACAATGTGGCCCGAAGGAGACAGAGATATTTGTCCACCTTGTGCTCCAATGGCAGCAGAGTATGGCTCCAGGATCCTGATGAAGTGGTGGGGTCCGTTTTGTTCTCTCTGCTGCACTCAGAGTGAGAGGCATGCAGAGAGTCTGAAAATGGGGCAGACACAGATACACGGTCAAAAGCCAAAAAGTAAGCAGTAAGGACCTAAACTTGGAAACATGGAGAATAATTTGAACCTAAGTTCAAAAGAGTCATTGTTTGCTCTCTGAGATTGGAGAAGAATGAGCCAAACTGAGCAGCAGAATAGAGTTCCATGGGAGACGGTTTGCTTGTCTCCCATCCTGCCTGAGGCTACTATAGGTGGAGCATAAGGGCCTCCACCCAAAGTCCGTGGTCACATGCATTCATGGGGAGACAACCTCTCTCTGACTGGTGCATCTGGACACGTTCACCCCAGTGCCCATATGCGGCACACTTACTCCTATGCTGCCCACTCCCAAGGATACTCCAACTATGTAATCATTTTCTTAAGAAGGGAGGGTCGAGAGTCAGGCGTGTTGGTATGTGAGAGTAGTGTGTACCTGTGATCCTAGCACTCATGAAGCCAAGGCAGGAGGATCTCAAGTTCAACGTCATACTAAACTACATCATGAGTTCTGGGCCAACTTGGGCTACAAAGTAAGACCCTGCACCAGAAAAGGCAGAGGGAGAAGGAGGAGGAAAGAAAAGGCTTCCTAAGATTGTCTGCCAAAGCTGAGAAATGAAGGGGGTCAGATAGGATAAAATTGGATATTAAAAACACATAAAGCATGCTGTGTTCCTAAATGGTACCAGCATGGTGTATGTGTTGTGGATTAACAGCTGTGTGTGAGTTCAAATCCTTTCAGCTCTCCAATTACATATTTATGTGCTGACTGAAGCCACCTCAAATAGGAACTGCTTGGTGTCTCCTGATGGAGGCCACACACAGTCAACATCACAATCCACAGGGAAGATCCAGAGGTGGTCCCCACTGCTCACAGCACCCGTCCGAAATCAGCAAAGTGTGTCATTTGCTGCTTCCTAGCCAAAACAAAACAAAAGACCAAAACGCCTCTGTTGCATGCTGAACCCTAGAAGGACCGACTCATGGTTTGAACATGGATTCTGTTCCTCCAGCCCTTTCCCCAGTGCTGTAGAGTCATTGTCAGACCCAAGAAGGCGAGGCAAGATCTTCCCTGGACTCCATGCTCCTCTCAAAGATTAGAATATCAAGGGGTCAGGCAGCTCTCCTCACAGGCCTCTGCCTGCGCTGACTCTGGCTCACCACCCTCTAGGTCCTTCCTCTCCCTTTGCTAGCCTGCTCTTCTCGTCCCCTGTCTGCAGGCACTGTACAAGCAGCAGCAGGGGTAAGCCTGGGCGAGAGGAGTGGTTCTTCTTCTGTCCCTGGTTTTGTACTGTGGGTTAAGCTCAGCAGACTGATGACATTTGTTTCCTTTTTTCTCATGTAGAACAAGCTTCTTCCCCACTTCATTTGGTTGCAGAAGGTGTGAAGCCTCTTGTCCTTTCTCCTTCATCTGTGGAGTGTTCTAACTGCCTCTATCTTTTGGCCTCAGCAAATGGAAAATATGGAGGGTTTGGGGTTGCCAAATGGTAGGGCTCACAGTTTATCGAGAAGAAAAGACTGCATTGTTGGCTGCCTGTAAGCTTGCCCCCTACTCCACTGTTCCTAAAACCATTCTGTAGTGGGGCTGTAAACTCCCTGTGGGATCACATCACTACTGTGACTTGACTTCTCTTTAGCCCGCAATAGGACTCCTAGCTTTCAGCTAGACTGCTGTAAGTTCATCAGTAGAGATAAACGTTCACAAAGGAAAACACAGACTTGAATGCCATGGGTCCACATAGGGATGTGTGAGCCTCAGTTTTCCCATCAGTAAAGTAGAGGTTGTGAGTGTGGAATTCAGTCATCATGTTGACAGTGGCTAGCTTCATAGGTGTTCAAATACACTAGGTTTTCATTTCTCTTGTCCTCTCTCTGTCTGTGCCCTAAACACTTGGCAGATACTAAGTGTTAAGAACTAGAGAGCATAGTTTCCCTGTGCAGGAAAGAATGCTGGACCAGGAAGACTGGCCATGAACAAATCTACAAGGTCCTGTAGTTGCTATATGTATGACAGGCATGAATTAGAAATGACAGTTGGCTGCTTGTCTCTTCCATCCACCATTATCCAGGGAAATGAAAGAAACCCTCATATTCTCGCTCAAGTTACTTATTTTTAAGGGGAAACACACAAATACATAAGGTCCATATGGCCACAGTTGATGTGGGCCATCTGGTAAGCTGGGGCTTGTGCCTACCATGTTAGGTCAGAAGCCACTCCCGAAAGCCTTTCCTCCCATAAGAGAGGCCCCGGTCAGCTGGGGACAGGGATGGATTTCATTACAGACTGCGGGCTACACTAAGAGGAAGCTGGAGCATGACTCTTAAGATGCTGCCTACCAAAGAGGAGAGAGAACCCAGAACAGTGTTGACTGACAGAGGTACAGGGTAGACGGCACCCCTCACCCCTCACCTACTCAGAATGGGGAAGTGTCTAAGGAGCTGACAAAAACAGCAGTCAAGTGCTGTGCAGTTAGAAAAGGCCCTGCAAGTTGTCCCCCGCCCCCGCGTGTGCCCTCAACGTGAGGAAGAGGGAGTGTCAAGTTCAAGCTAGAGTGTGAGGTCTGCTGGTCCTGACAGATGACAAGTCTACCTCCTTTGTAGTGAATGCGCTTTTTTTCTCTTTCTTAGCTTCTGGGGTGTTTTCTTTTTGAAAGCTCCTTCCTCTGTTTGCTCTCAGTCCAGAAGCAAAATATCCCTTCCTTCCAAAACTTTTTGCAAAGTTTGCTTTTTTTGTTTTCAAGTTAGAGCAGAATGAGAAATTGACTTTTTTTTTTCACAGTTATTCTAAAAAGTTCCACACGGCAAAGGCCCTGGTGGTTTGCAGGCCGGGGTCCCTCTCTGACTGCTCTGCATCTTACATTGCAGGTCTTCCAAGCTAACAACGATGCGACTGAGGTGGTTCTGAACAAGCTCCACACGCCCCTGCTGACAAGGTTCGTCAGGATCCGCCCACAGACGTGGCACTTGGGCATCGCCCTTCGACTGGAACTCTTTGGCTGTCGAGTCACAGGTGAGTTGAGGGGTTCTGGCGAGACAGGAGAAACAATTCTAGGCTTCTCCCCTCTTTCTGAATCAATAAGATTGTACCGTGTGACCTTCCCAAAAGGAATGGCTAGAAGGGTCAACTCCTATCAGACTTAATCCTTTCATTCATTTATTCAACCCTCCACCCATCTAATATGGTTTTATTATGCTAGTGCTAGTTCTGCTTAATAAAATAGACTGAAGGATAATTTGATACCCGACTCTAGTCCTACTGTAAGTGTGCTGTCTTTTATTATTCTTGTAGAACTCCATGGCATAAGTCTCGTCATTTTCCTCACTTTGCACAATAGGAAACCAGAGTTAAGGAACCAAATCCCAGTAAGCGATGACACCAGGGTTTGAACCTAGATAGCTTGCGTCTCAACTAGTACCCTCTCCTGTCTCATGTGGAGACCAAGGTCTAGACCTGGTACTGTAGACACAATGGGAGCCAGTCCTGTGTGGCCTTATTAAAAAGTTGGATGGACAAATTAATAATAAGCAAGATGATAAATAAACATAAATTCAACAAACTCTGAAGACTATCTGAGGACAGGGCCTCGTGGTCCTTGAAGTGTTTTACAGCGTCCTTGCCTGGCAGGTCAAGAAAGACTTCTTTGAGGATGGGTTACTGAGGTCAGAGGCAAACGAGACACTGCTTACTGAAGAAAGATTGGAAAGCAAATCCCTGCTTGTTTGTTGTCACTGTAGCAAGAGAACTGAGAACAGTGTTTGAGGATAGTATCTGAAGGAAAAATGGTGCTCGGGTGGTTTTAACCCAAGGACTGTGCTGGCGATCACCGGAGTAGGAGGTGGAGCCTTTGTAGGCTGGTACCATGGTATAGCACCATGACAGTTGGACTCGCAATAGTGTGACTGTGTACAGGCCCATCATTTCCACTCTTTGAACTCCATCTAGAAAGGCAAGTTGCTCCTTTGACCTGCAAGGGTCATTGTCCATCTCCTACCTGCCTACTTGCCATCCCATCTCTGTCTAGGAATGCACCATGGTGTAATCCTGCTTAAGGTTTCTGGTTCACGTACCCTGTGGCTGCACTTTCTCTCCATCTCTCAGGACTCTGCCCTGTAATTTACCGGCAGTTAGGAAGAACCGGCAGATCTTCATAACGCCTAAGATGATGCTGATGAAGAAGTTAGAAAGGCAACAGTTTAACCCAGACCAGCATCCATTCCTGAGGCAACAGAGTCAGGATCTGTCTCCACTGTTCCTCAATACAAATCCCTTGTCACGTTCAGACAAGGACCTGGCTTTCTCCTTTTATCCGACAAGGACTGTCTTCTGCCCCTTCTGTGGTGCTGGCCTACCCAGCAGGGGATAATGAACAAGGACTTACCTAGCACTTGTGGTCCATTCACTCCCTGTTCACTCAGTCACTCCACAAAGACCCCGCACCGTGACTTGAGATAGAGAAGTGAACAGAATGAGGTCTCAGGTGTCAAGGAACTTTCAAGCTAGTGGCCAAGATAGACAGCAAACCCACACAAGAAGGCATAATTACGAGCTAGCGTACGGGTGCTCCGAGGAGGGGCTGGGGCACCTAATTACCATGGAATGAAAGTTTGGCCAGAGCCGAATGCGGGCCTTATACCCCAAGTGAGCAGAGGTTAGTCTGGCAGTGAATAGGGGAAGAACACTTCAGGTGGTGGAGAGGGTTTAGGAAGGACCCAAGGCAGGAACGAGCTCTGGTCACACGTGGAGGACTTGATTCTGAGCCCAGGAAGGTTCCCATCTTGTAGGCAAAATGATCTTCCGGGAAATAATTCGATTCTTGCCTCCTGAGCGCCACTGCACTCACTGTCCTTGAGGGTCGGTGGAAACTGGTGTCTCAGATGGACGTGGCGACATACACTCTCAGACGCCCTGGTCAGAGCTGTGAATGAAAACGGCTAACAGTCACGGAGCCCTTGGGCACACCAGGCTCTCGCCTAAGACCTGCTCTGAGGTGACTAACAGAGTCCCCACCACAGCCCTCAAGAGGTAGGCACTATTGAGGGAGCCCATTTAGACTTGGGGAGCTTGATGCATGGAGCAATTAAATCACTTGACCAAAGTCACCTAGCTAAGTAAGCAAGCAGAGCAAACACAAAACCAGGCATTCTGAGTCCAAGTTCAGACTCTGAGTCACAATGCTCTACAGCCTCAGAATGCAAAATAAAACAGTAAGCAAGTGACCTGACGATCCTGAGGATCTGCTTAGTGAGTGGGCCTCAGCCATGACTTATGGTTTCTTCCTTGTCTCTCCTAGATGCACCCTGCTCCAACATGCTGGGGATGCTCTCAGGCCTCATCGCTGATCCCCAGATCTCTGCCTCCTCCACCCGAGAGTACCTCTGGAGTTCCGGTGCTGCCCGCCTGGTTAGCAGCCGTTCTGGCTGGTTCCCTCGGAACCCTCAATCCCAGCCAGGTGCAGAGTGGCTGCAGGTGGACTTGGGGACACCCAAGACAGTGAAAGGCGTCATCATCCAGGGAGCCCGTGGAGGGGACAGCATCTCTACCATGGAAGCCAGGGCATTTGTACGAAAGTTCAAAGTCTCCTACAGCCTAAATGGCAAGGATTGGGAATATATCCAGGATCCCAGGACTCAGCAGCCAAAGGTAGGTCGTTCTCAGAGAACTCTAATGCCATTCTAAAGGGAGGTTAAGTAGGGTGCAGGGAGTTAGGGAGCTGATTTCCCATCTAGCAGTCACCATCAAACCCCATCAACCCAATAAAACAAGTGTCAACCAAGAGACTATGTTGTGCCAGACCTGGTCCTTAAATTGAACTCCTTCTTAGTATCCATAATCTTTCTACAAAGTTTGTTATTTGGTCATTCACATTTTGGAGATGGCAGAACCGAGGCTTATGTTATACCTAGGCCCACACTGCTTACCAGAGCCTGAAACCACAAAGTCAGACTTCAAAACCCAGACACTTAACCAGTGCTCAACACTGCCTGCTTACGGAGTTTGGTGCCCTTCTCAGCCTCCTCTGGATAGAGTTTCTTTGAAATGGGCCAGACATCCCAAGGGGATGTGGTTCTTGGAGACGAAGCTATAGAAACGGGGAGTTACTTCCAAAAATAACTGTTTTTTTCTGAATGTTACACTCCTTTGAATTTCCTTAGTCTTGATTGCTCAGATCTTTTGTGCCGCTTACACTGAGTATAAAAGAAAGGAAGAGAATGATGCTGGGCCAGAAGAACCAGACCAGTGCCGCCCACCCCTGCCATGAGAGAAGGGAAGGCTGGCCTTCACCTTAGCATACTAGGAGTCCCAGAAGGAAGAGCACTTCCTGTCTCTTCCCTTTTCAGATTCATCTCCTGGTAGGCCAGGCTACCTGGTCCTCATTTCTGTAGAAGTACAGTATCTTTAACAGGGGAAGGAGTTGTCCCTGTGATAAGCAAGGCTTTGCTTTCCAAATGCATAGGCCAGAGCTAGGTCGGAGGTTTCACAGTACTGATGTGTACTTCCAGCTCACAATTCCAGGGACTTGGAAAGACTTGAGGTTTGGAAACCAGAACCTTCAACCAATAGAGCAGAAGCTGGACCACAAGTTCCCTGGTGACAGCTAATAGTGGCTCTTTTTGGGAAAGAAGTGATTTGGGCCAGTTTCAGAGCACGTCCTGCCTAAGGCAGATGATGCATCCTGAGTACCTGCAGATGGCTGATCCCCCAGGCATTCCTGGACATAGCCACCTCAACACCTGTACTCTTCCTATGTGAAGGACTCTGAGGTGGTTCTAGGTGGAGTTCCCACATAGTTCCAACTTCTTTCAGCAATTTTATGCATTGGCAATCTAGGAGTGGTTTCTTTTGGTAAAATTGCTTCTGATAAACCAAGGTCTAGAAGACAATCTCAGGCCATCAATTTGTAACCAAGAGGATGGTGTTATTTCCCTAAAGAGGCAGTAGTCATTTTTCTTTCAGACTATCAGCAAGTTGGGTCTCATTCATGCAGGCAAGCATGCCATCAGTTGAACTACATGTTACAGTTTCCTATGATTTCTACATCTACAATAGCCTCAAGACTGCTGGCTGAGATGATCCAGCCTCACAGAATACTCCAGTCAGGACTTGATCATAATCCTAAATTTTCTATGGGTCCCCATAAGATTATCATTGCCCCTAAATCATCAGGAAGTAGCCTAGAAAACTACGCCCACAATCCCCAAAAGTGGATAATGGATGTTGTCTTTGTTCAGTGTGTTGGTTACAAGTTGTTATGGACAATGGTCAGAAGAAAAGACTAAACAAAGAGATTAGATTCAAGGTCTTATTTTGAAAAGAAAAAAGGGGAAATGCCGTGGGATAGTTCTATTGTACACTGTAAAGATTTGTCACTCATACTGGTTTAATAAAACAGTGATTGGCCAATAGCCAGGCAGAAAGTATAGGCGGGGCAACCAGACTAGGAGAATTCTGGGAAGAGGAAAGGCAGAGACATAGTCACCAGCCAGAAACAGAGGAAGCAAGATGAGAATGCCTTACTGAGGAAAGGTACCAAGCCACATGGCTAAACATAGATAAAAATTATAGGTTAATTTCAACTGTAAGAGCTAGTTACTAATAAGCCTGAGCTAAAAGGCCAAATAGTGTTGTCATTAATTTAGTTTCTGTGTGATTATTTGGGTCTGGGCCAGTAGGAAAACAAAAGTTCAGTCTCCATCTACAGCTATATTCCCATCTCATTCATCAAAAGCATTAGAAAAAGAAAACACTTCTTTTAAAAATAAGGCAAGGAATCTGGACTGTTAGACACAGCCATCCCCGCCTTCTGTTTTTCCTGGCCAAGGTCAGGCTAAATCACATTTGGAGCTTAGACCTCCCCTGACTATGGCCACTCTAATGCTCCCAAATTTCCATATTGCAAAGTCCCTCCTGGACTTTCCAAATGAACAAAGACCTTGGTTTGAAATGAAGTCACATGGTAATGCTCCATGAATCAACCACAAAGTTGACTTCTGGATTAGCTGTGGTGGTGGGGAGAGGTGAGTGGAAAGGAAACTCACAGGAGGAGGGCTGAGCAACCTGTCTCCCTACAGCTGTTTGAAGGGAACATGCACTATGACACTCCCGACATCCGAAGGTTCGATCCAGTTCCGGCACAGTACGTGCGGGTGTACCCAGAGAGATGGTCACCAGCAGGCATTGGGATGAGGCTAGAGGTCCTGGGCTGTGACTGGACAGGTAAGGGGATTTCTTCTTCATATCTTGCCCACTTGGTCTTGTGGTCTTGGCATCCTGGCAGGGGACAGGGCAGTCAGTCTTCACTGCATACCTACTGTCTGGTCCCTGCTACATTCTTGAGCCACCTCTCAAGGGAAGTGTTTTGTCCTTTGTCAAAGATCACTTCAGTTCCTCAACATGAGTTTCTAGAAAGACAAGTCTTAACTACCCATCGCCTACCGAAATTCAATTAGACCCCAGCTCTTCAGGCCACGGACAGTGGCTGTTGATTTAGGAAAGAAAAACCCTCTCATGACAATAAAGTAATCGGTTTATGTCTGAATCTGGCCTCCAGATGTCAGAGACTCAGACTGCATTTTCCTTTCAAAACTACATCTGTAAAAGACATTTATTTGCTCAGGGGGGACACTGGTGCAGCCTGCATCTTCCCAGTATGTAACCCTACTAGGTAGCACAGCATGGGGCAAATGCCTCCATAAATTCTCCCTGTGAGGGTGAGGCCCCAGAGCTCACCCTTACCCTTGCTGGTTGTGGAAGGATGGAAGACCCTACCTACCCTTCTGGGTCAGGTCCTCCCTTGCCTCTGGTCACTGGCTCTTCTTCTTCTGCAGAGCTGGCACAACCTGGTAAAGTGAGCTTTTGGGGAGCCACCTGAAGCTCAGGGCCCCACCCTGTGCCAGCAGGAGCCACTAGCAGGCATAGCTCTCCTGCTTCTCCCCACCAGGGCCCCAGGTATTCCCATTTTCCTGTCTGCTGTACCTGTCACTGGCTCAGGTGACAGGATGGCATGAAGGATTAATAAGGGCATGTCAGGGAAGTGCTTTTGTCTCCCAGGGAGAAAAGTGCTGCTTGTGTGCAGGCTGTAGTCACACAGAGGAATCCTGTGCAGACGCGCAGGCCAGGAGTGGGGCCCCAGTTCAGCTCTAGGCTTGGAGGTGAAGACAGTCCCATGGAATCCATACTAGTAGGAAGACTCACCGTCCCCGCACACACACACACACACACACACACACACACACACACACACACATACACACACACTTGTAAGGGTAAGACTGGGCACCCCAAAGCCTGAATGCTGATCACCTGTGCCTCATAGATGATACTAAAAACCTACCTCAGACACAAACTAGTTTCATTGACCCACCTGAGACTCCATGATTAAGCTGCAGAGGATCCAGAAACGTCTAGGCTCGTAGTTCCCAAACATGTTTGACCATGTGCCTCAAGTTAAGCTGAATTTCCACTGAAAAACCACTTTCAATGACAAGCAAGCACATTCATGTGCACACATGGGAAGTTCTCGAATTCCGGAAACAGATTACTAAGCTCAGCTCCTTCCCTGGCAGTAGGTGCAGAACTTAGGACAAATTACTTCCTCTCTTGCCTGAAAAGTGGGGATGGTACCAGTCTGTCTCGAAGCCCCACAGCTGTCGTGAGGGCGGCATGGAGCATTTAGACTGCTGCCCAGCACTGGCAAACGTAACAGAAGGGGTTTCGCTCACACACCAGGCGGTACTCAACCTTACTAGGCAAGACACCCTGATAGATTACAGCTCAGACTTCTGAAAGGCCTCGTAACCCATTGAATCGATTCCATGACCTACCGCCCTTTCAGACTGGGCAGCAGCCCCAGGAAGGTCACCCAGCTAGTTGGGAACTAAGTCACATTTCTCTCTGGTCCCTTTTCCTTCTGTCCCATGCCTCTCCCAGACTGGCCTTGCTTTATGGCCAGCTGGACATTTGCTAATGTCCTCTTCCCCTCATTGTCCCTCCAGCCCCAGCCTGCCCCAGATTGCCCTGGTGACAACCACAGGTTTCCCATTTCAAAGTCCAGCCCTGCTCTCGGAAGATCAGAGTTGAGGCGTGTTAGCTTCTGCCCAGGCTCTGAGTCTTTGAAGTCTCTGACATCTGGTTTTAATTTTGGAGGAACGCTGCTGTTTGGTGGGCAGTTATCTTGGAGCACCCAGTACAAACAGTGGGCACAGTAGCTGCCCCTGTTCTTTGCTTTCCCTCACACACCCTGCCCTCTGCTCACCTCATCGGCCCCTCACTGCCCCTGGGTTTCACTTTATCTCTCCCCACCAGCTGACCAGTTTCTCCTGAAATAGTTTTTAATACATACTCTTCTTCTTTTTAAAATTTCCATCTCTGCCTGCAACTCGCCCTTGGTTCACTTCTTGTTTTTCTTTTATTCCCCTAAAGGAAAACAGAAAAACTGAAGGGCTTGGCTGAGCGGGTTTGGTAAATAATTTGACAGGGCTGCTTCACCTGTTAGCCAGTGTGTTTGGGTTTCAAAGGATGACTTCTCGCCTTGCCACCCATAGTTTGCTTTACAATTGAGTTTGAGACTCAGTGGCACAGTGACAAATCTGAGCTCACAAATTAGGACGCTTCGAGGTTATTTGCTATTTACTTTGAGCGAAAGGCAGACGCGGTAGCGGGAAACACGAAAGGTTATGTGCGTAGTATTTAATAGCAGAAAGGTGGGAAGTCGACCGTGAAAAGTCTTTTCAGCATTTTTACCCCTTCCCTCAGCTCCTGACTTTATTAAATAGTATCCTGAAGGGTACCCCACAAAGGCACCTAATCACATGCACTAGCACTAAGGAGCTTGTCAAAGGCAGGAGGAACAATGCCCTGACTTCTTCAGGGCATCTACCTGGAGGAACTCTGGGGTGTACTCACCACCACTGCACAACACACAGGTTTCCAGACTCTCCCACCCCACCCAGGACCTGACTCACAACCTCATTCATTCCCCAAATAGTTGATGAATGAGCGACCGACCCGGTGAGCAAATAAACAAGTGAAGAATGGGTGTGTGAGTCACCTCTGGCCCAGGTAAAAACCGCGGCCTACTGCACGCTTTGACCTAGTCAGGCTTTTTGTGTGCTCCTTATTGTACCATTTGTTGTAAGTTGCCAACGTTTGGGAGCCTGGAGTTTTTACTAAGGGGTGGTAGGCTTCTCTGGCGGTTGGGGTGGGGATTTTAGAAGAACTAGCCAGACTCGGTTATTTCTTCTTTGGCCTCTGTCTTTTGAATCAAGTTGTGGTGCTTCGGCGGTGCCCCCTTGCCTGGGGCCACTCTCTCCACCACACCCGACTCTTCCCACCCCAGTCAGTTCCCCTGAAGAGCAGTAACTGTATCCAGTGGGTGTTTTAACTTGCCATACCTTGATTAGAAGGTGTTGCCCAAATTACTTCACCTAGCCCGAGTCTCTTTAAATCTATTTCCCCATCTGTCCATGGCCACGAAACACCAACAGAGTCTGGATTTGGGCTTCCTAAGCTGCTGTTTCGCTTACAACTTTGGTGACAAGTGCTTCTGATTATTTTATTGTAGGTGGGCCCCACAGGCCAAATTGTTTTATGGAGTTAGTTTTGAGTCCAAATAAATCCTGTCTAGCATAGTGAAAATGTGTTTTTTGAGAAAGCAGGGCCAAGCAGCGAGGCCCACCAGCAGTCCTGAAACAGCAGAGCGCTCGGGGCCCGTTTCCCATGTAATCTCAATAAGCATGGAGATTTTTCAGTCAATTTTGGTGGGCAGCATTTTGATTGTGTGGCCTACACCACTTAGGGGTCAGTGTCATCCGCCCTCATGACTGCCACTTCTGTGCTGCCCTTAGAGCCTCCAGGGTGGGGTCAGGAGCATGGCTTTGTGCCGATGTCTGTTGCAGCTTCTCTCAGCTGAAGTGACCCTCATGGCTCCACTGACAGTTCCCGAGGGTGAGCTCAGGTTGTGTTCACATCTGCGTGTCTTCCCTTTCCTGCTCACAAGTTCACACCTACAAAGAAGATTTTAGTTTTTGGCTTCTTCCCCTGCCGGGTTACAGAGCATCCTGCTGAGACATTTTTCTTTTCTCCCTTCCCCTTCGCGCAGACTCAAAGCCCACAGTGGAGACACTGGGCCCCACCGTAAAGAATGAAGAAACTACCACCCCATACCCCATGGACGAGGACGTCACGGAGTGTGGGGAGAACTGCAGCTTTGAGGACGGTGAGAACGGGAATGCTCACCCCAGTTCACCCGGGGTGGCCCGGGTATGGACCAGGCAGACGACCTGTGATCGGGCGAGAGCTTGAGATGCCTTGGTTAGAGGGTCACAGGAACTTACAGGAGGGTTCAGGGAGGTGCAAATACTCAGAGGCCTGAGGCCGTGGCTGCTAGAAACACTCAGATATTGTACCAACTAGTATAGCCCTATAGATACAAACCCACTGCTAAGGTCCTCACTGCCTTGATTAGTTAAAGGAAAACCAGCCTCAGCCAAGAATTACCAGCAGGAAGAGCTTCTGTTAACATGTGCCTCGGCCATGTGACGACCTGGTGTCCTTCTTAGGTGGGGGGTCATTGTCTGTGATAGCCAAGTTAGTTCGACAATTACCCAGAACCAATGCACTTCCCTGTGTCTTACAACATCCTTGATTTACAAACTGTAGCGGGTGATTCTCAGACTCATGTCACATCTTACAGGCCTGGGACAAAGGCAGGATGTGAGGGACCCTCAGCCAGTTCCCAAAAGCCCAAGATGCTAGTGTTAGGATCATCTCTTCGCATGGGAAATCTTTATTCCCCTTTTTATCCAAGGCAGAGAAAGCCAGGGATCGGAAGATCTGAAAATCAAGTGCTGTGTCTATTCCTACTGTTCAGGTCACCATGCACTAGGACACTCCTAATAAGTCCCAACTTCTACAGCACCTGGCCTTTAGGGTTGGACTTTTAAGTTTGAAAAACTCAGTTTACATTAAATTGCTGATTATTATTAAATGTTCATTAAACAAAATGAGGAAAGATTAGCAAAGACGCTTGAGAAGGGACTCAAAGATGTAGTTAGTGATGGGACCAGGGAGCCCGCTCACAGCCAGAGGGCGGCTTGAGAAACTGCCCGATGGTATGGATGGCTTCCAGTAAGAAGAGTGGGGTGAAAGCCAAAAATTAATGCTGAAACTGTGGGGTTGAAAAATGAGAATCGAATGCATGTGTTTTAGGGAGTGTGCTCTGGTATATTGTGTGGGTAGGGGACACTGCTGGTCAGGGTTAGTTGAATACAAAACCTTGACATTTTAATGAACTTGTTTTAGTTTCATAATGAGAAGTGGAGAATCTTCCAAGACATATCTAAAACAGAGAGCTGAAAAAGAAACACACGGAGTTAATGCATGGTATTAGATTCAGAGTTAGCGTGTCAGGAGCATGGGAATGGGGAGTCTAGCTAAACGGCAATCCAAAGGAAAATTTAAGGGCTCTGCTGCAAAATTTCAGAAGTTTATTTTTAATATAATTTTACCGTTTACAGTGGTTTGTTTGATTTGAGGTTTCTTTGATGGTCCCTCCCTTCTTTTTAGTAAAAGATCTTTTTGTGGAATTTAGTTCCTGAGATATAGTATGCATATAAACATTGCAGAGGAATTATGGTATATTGAATTACCCTGTACTTTTGAACGGAAAAATAGACATGTGGAGAAGTTTGGAGAGAAGGAGTGGTGAGGGCTAGAGCCGACTTTCCCAAGCCACAGGTTGATATTTCTGTGATGGGTTCCATGTGTTCCCTTTGCACTCCAGCTGACTTTGGCTAAGGGTGGGCCAACATTAAATGTTCCCTCTTGGGCAGGCTGGACACAGTAGGGTCTGCGGGCAATCTGCGTCCTGCTGCTGAGATCAGCAGTACCCTTGCCTCTAAAGCCAAGCATCCTCCACCCCATGGTGGGCAATTTGTCTCTACCCAGCTGCTGTCGCCGTTAGACCATTCTTAACCTTCCCCGTGGAAATTCTTCTCTGGGAACTTAGGAAGGGAAGTGAGAAGGCCAAAGACCCCACGTCCCCTGGGCCACTAGCATTGCTAACTCTTTTCCTCTGTCCTGGCAAGTATCCATGTTTGGGTTCCCATTTTCTCTTTCCCCACCTTTGTACCACCCCCTATTAATTCCAAGATTAGCATTAACTCATACTGGGTTTTTAGATCTGGGTGGAACCCCAGAGAAAACCCACTTGGTTCCGCCTTTGGACTCAACTAGGTAACTCTGTAAAGCAGCCAGGGTGAGCCATTGTGGTCACTTTGTAGAGCTGCAGAGAACACGTTCTTCCCTCTCAGCTCTCAGGAGCTCCGCACATGTGCTGCTCAGTAACTGGCATGACTAGCCTGAGCCCCCAACCTAGCAGATAAAAACATGCCCCAACTTACTCAGCTCTGAGCTGGGCAGCTCTAAGGGTGCCCCAGCCCCTCGTTTTCACTCTTAACATGTTAGATTTCCCTCCTGACAAGGCCAACCTATGCCATCCCTCTGGAATAAGGGCTGTGTTGCAGAGTGGTAAGAGACGGCAAACAAGCCATCCCTTGCTTCTGAGGTCACTGTCTGTCTCACCCAGAAGTTCCCCGGCATCCAGGTCTCCCCATCACTTCTGAGAGCCAGGCTGGCAGGACTTGAGATGATCCTCTCAGAAGTCAGCAGGCCACTGAAGACATTCTTCTCTGGCATCTAGGGAGTAGCAATTTTCCCACTTGTCTGCTGTATGAGGCAGATGGAGGAGGCTGATTAGCTCCTGAAGCCATTTGGGGAGGTCTCTTTATAATTGCTTACTTTGGGAACCACTGGCCGACTTGGTCTTCATGCTGGGAAGGATGAGACCAAAGCCTGACCTGAAAGTCAGCAATCACCAAGACGAGTGAAATAAATGAGCAAAAGGAAGCCCTTCTTTCTCTGCTTGGTGCTCAGGGCCAGGCCAGCTATTGAAGGGACATTGCTGTGACTGCCCGCTGGGCCCGCTGGACCCGCTTTGCTTGCTGGCCTTTTAGTTACTTTTCTTCTTCTTTTAGACAAAGATTTACAACTCCCTTCCGGATTCAACTGCAACTTTGATTTCCCTGAGGAGCCCTGTGGTTGGATGTATGACCATGCCAAGTGGCTCAGAAGCACCTGGACCGGCAGTGCCAGCCCCAATGACCGAACATTTCCAGGTAAGGCAGCTGAGACATCCTTTGACGCACATGGTTTTCCATCCCGACTCCCTTGCAAGCTTCCTCGCTCCCCACCACGGGGCAGTTTTCTGTTCGTTGCCCACAGACTACCACAGACATCCATCCGCACATGCCTGGCTGGTTGGTGGCTCCTAGCCTACTCGGGATTTCAGGCCAGTTGCTAGGGAGAAAGAGAAAACAGAATAAGTGAGAGAAAGAAGCCTTGGGAGGTCCTTAGGAGATAGTAGGCGTCCACTAGAATCCTCTTGTTCCCTCAGCCAGCACTGGCTACTACTGTCTCATTAACAGGTGCCTTCTGGAAATGTTTTAACAATAGGCTTTCCAGGGATTGAAACAAAACCCCAAAGTTGTTTGATAAGGTACACACACATTCAGTGGTAAAAATACTCTCCCCACAGTTCAGCGGGTCACAAACCTGGGGGTGGGGCTGGGACATGCAATGGCGGGGCTCAGGGAGTGTATTTTCCCTCTACAGACACAAGGAACCTAAGTTATCTCCGGAGGCGAATATGCCGAAATGATCAGGAAATGTTGAGTTGAGGGTGTTTATTATTCTCCTTTTTAATATAATTTAATATAGCTTATGTAATTTTAATAAGAATTATATTTAATTGGCTAGTAAAGTTTCAGAAAATTTAACAATTGGCATTCACAAACCAGTAAACGCTCTGATTGGCTTTCAGTTTCCATACACCTCCTGCCTGACTCTCAGATGTCCGTAAACAAGCCTTCAGGAGAAAATGGGGTTAATTCTGGAAATTTAGCAGGCTAAATGTTGATGAAGTGCTCTGGGAAAAGGCTAGAAAATGAGAAAGAGAGGGCTCCCCTCTTCCTGACTTCTTCAGAGCTGCTCTCATCCAACCACTGATGGTGCCCCTGGTCCCTAGGAGTTCAAGGAGGGAGGAAGGCTTAGAACACTTGGGGCCAGTCTTCCATCATAGCCCACATTTGCTTTCCCAGAGGGTCACAGCATCTGCTCTGAAGAAAAACATTTTCATATTTCAAGTGTTTATCTCTTCAGCCTTTGAGTGCTGGCTCAGAGAGATTGTATCTGAGGATCACCAGAGCCGCAGGCACAGGAGAGAGAGCACTTACCCCAGTCCCAGCTCTAATCCCCTCCCGGTCTTACTCTCTGCAATAATGCTTAATTAATATAATGAGCCTCCTGCACGTCGGGAAGAAAAATACTTATTTTTATAACCCAGCCAGGATTTTTCGTTTCATTTCCTCTCCTTTGAGACTGGGTCCAATTAATTGGTGTTTTTTCCCAGCCCCCATCTTTATCTGAATGTAAGGAAGGTGAATGAGGTATATGTGTGCATGTGTTTACATTTTGTCTGAATGTGAGATAGGGGTTGAAAGGGGAGGGTTCTAAGGTGCAGCTTGGCTGGGGCACTTTGAATAAGGTTGTACACATGGACTTTCTGTGTGGTAGGAGGATTGATCATTTCTTATCCGGGCCCCGCTTTTAGTCCCTTCTAATCCTCTGGCCTCCCCTCCCTATACTTCTAAAAAGGTTTCCTCTGGGAGTGTCTGAGGCTAGCCCTAGACTACAAGGCCACCAGCAAGCAGGCAGCAGTTCTGTCCCCTCTCCTCTGCCATAGCCTGCTGCCCTGCACCTCTACCCACTTTGTTCAGACCCCACCCTCACCGCAATTCCTGGTCCCTTGACCCTTGCTTCACTACTGGTTATTGTTGTCTTTGTCTTCGTTTGAGCTGACTCATTCCACTCTGAGTTAGAGAGGGCTTCTGGGAGCAGGCTAAGGAATGGGCACAATTCCAACCTTTGATGAATAGGATAGATGGGGACAGAAAGAAAAGTAGGGCCGTACGGAACTGCTGGGTCTAATGCTGAGAAGGAAAACGGTTGTTCTCCTGTTCCAGAAGAACCACTGAAGTTTAGGAAAGCAACTTGTGACCTGACTCCAGGAAACAAAGTCACAATTTTGTTTTCAGAATCCTTCCCTTTATCCTCGGATGATTAAAACACCCATCTTCTCTGTTTCCGACTGTCCTGATTACAAAACTCCAAATCACACTGTAAGCAGAAGATAGAACCCTTTCTGTTTGGGGTGTTCCTTTCTTGTTCTTAAAAAAAAAAAATGAGGCTCTGAGAGTAGCAGTGAGAAAGGAAGCAGCTGTGCTGGGCTCAGGGCGGGGACAGTGCTGATGGGTGCAGAAGGCTTGGCGCCTGTCCCCAAACCTGAGAGCCACAGTGTCACCCGACTGTGCTCTTCCACAGAGAGAGGCCAAACCCATTGTTCTCTGGAAGCGCACAACACGCTTCACCTCTTCATAAGGAGGTAAACAGACGCCATTACACTTTAGATAGGAAGCATCACAGCCGTTGGCTGAGAGAAGGTGGGGTGAAGGGAAACGGGGCGGGGCGAGATGGCCATGCTGAAACACAACACAAGTGTCCCTGGAAACCACTTACATTGCTCAGATGTTTTCTGACTGAGTTGTTTTCTCGCTCTCTTTCCTTTTTCTGCCCCCTTCGAAGCCCGCAGTCAGCTCTGTCCCTTTGCCTAGTGGTAATGGTTGCTCCAGGCTGGCAGGACACTGGTTTCATTCCACTGTCTTTGTTTTTCGACATCCGTCTTTCAAGCCACTCAGAATTTCTTTTTTTAGCTCTTGTGGCTGAGCTGCCTAGAGTGTGTTCATACCAATGCCCCTCCCGCTGAAGGGGGAGGATGTGTTCCAAACTCAGTGACCCCCTGGTGGTAGCCGAGGAGCCTGTCCAACCTCTCTGACAAGTCACTTGCCTTCCCTCTGAAGCTACAACGGCGGCGTATGCTTAGTAGAACAGACACATTTTCTACAGACATGCTCTGACGCTTTGATATCAACAGTTCCGAGAATGATGAGAGCTGGGTCTATGAGGAAGGATACAAGCACTCCTTGAGGTGATTGGGTGGGCTTGGTATCCAGTTCTCCAGTATTGGGTAAGGAATCCTCAACCGTTTGTGGCTATTTCTATCATAATTTTAAAGAGTTTCAGCTGACTCTTCAGTTCTGCCGCGGCACTGGTCCCTTCCCCAGGGATGCAGGACCACATCGTCACCACACACTGCAGTAGTCAGTGCTGCTGTAGCACCTTGGACACTAGCAGGGGAACAAGCTCCCAATCCTTGATGTTGCTTCTGTAACTTGGTTTAGTGAGAACCAAGAAGCAATGAGTTAGGGGGATGAATTTGCCTGATCTGGTTCTCGACGTGTTGTACTTGGTGGCCACTGTTTTGATTTTCCTACGTATGCCACTCTGACTCCATCCACAGCCATGGGAAATGACCAAGGGGCATAGCATTAAGGACTATTTGGGGGTCACACAGAAAAAGTATCCTAAGTAAACCGTAATACCAATAGTATTGATAGTTGTTATTTCTATGATCATTATTACTGTCAAGAATGAGGTCTGGTGGTGTTGTCATGTAATCTCAGCTACTTGAGAAACTGAGGCAGAAGGACTGAAAGTTTAAGGTCTGCCCGGGCTGCCGAGTTCAAAACCAGCTTAGGCAGTTTTGCAAGACCCTGTCTGAAAAAAAAAGAAGAAAAAGGAGAGCTGAGGTTGTAGCTCAGTGTCTGGGAGTGCCTGGGTTCGGTTCCCAGCTCCACTGGGGGGAAGGGGAGCGAGAGGGGGAGGAGATAAGACCATAAATTACAGGATTCTCCCCACAGCTTCCTGGGTGATCCACTGGGGTCTGGAATGTATGCTCTTTTAAACATTGTTTGACCTTGTGAAGTGCGATTACAATGATACTTTGCTTCACTGACCAAGAGCCATGAAAGCATCTAAAGAAAACAGGCAAAGCCTGCTTGGACTAGGACACCCTTCTGAAGGGAGCTTTGCCCAGCTCAGGGAAGGAGCTGAGACAACTGTGCCTTTCCTCGGGTTCAAAGGAAAGCTCAAGTGGGAGTAAGCCAAGAATCCAAACATTCGGGTTTACACATGTTGGCTGTCCCTTCAAATGTCAGTAGTAGACCCTGCTGATTTCTCACTGGGGTTGTTTGGATGCAGATTTGGCTGCTGATAAACTGCAGCAGAGTGGGGGACCAGAACTCTGATGCACCATGTGTGTGCAAAGGAGAGGCTAAAGGGAACTGTGCCTGAGTATGGCTGGTACAAGTTCATACAGAACCCAAAGGAAACAGCGGAAGGGTGAGCTCACAGTAAGTTTGCATCTTGACAGTAAGCTAGCCATGCATTTGAAATTCTGAATCTAAAAATCTCTCTCTGAGCTCAAAAAATGAGGTATCAGCTGGCAGTTCAGACACTTGAATGACCTCAGTACAGTGGTTCTCAACCTTCCCAAAGCTGCAGCCCTTTAATACAGTTTCTTGTGTCGTGACGAGCCCCAATCATAAAATTATTTCATTGTTACTTTATAACTATAATTTTGCTACTGTTATGAATCGCAATATAAATATCTGATTTGCCATCCTGTGAAAAGATCATTTGACCCCCACACACAAATGGGTCAGGACCCACAAGTTGAGAACCACTCCGTCCGATTGACTCACCTTCAGTGGGGGCTCCAGGAGGACAGAAAACTGGGGCTATGGACCCATGATAGATTACTAAAGGGCAGGGAGAGATGAGCTGAAAATAAACAATAGTCAAGGGATAATTTCAGCCGGACAAGGAAAGAATAGAGGCCTCTTGTAAGATGGGAGAAAAACATGCCCTGTGTGGAAAAGATGAGGAGAGAGAAGCTGCTATCCCCGCTTCCTGAAAATCACGAAGGACCGAGTTGGTAAGCAAGCGTCAGAATGAGAACAGAGCTATCTACACGGCAGAACTTTCTGTGGAAGCTGACACATCCAAGAAGTATCTCCAGGTAGCTGCCTGCGAGGACTGGCCAGGCTGAAAACTTAAATGTCCGCGGAATGTTCTATCATAAACCTTGAAAACATCCTGCCGAGTTCATCCAAAGTCAATGTTTCCCTTAACTGCTTGTTAATTTGAGGACCTTAGCAGAGATAGGCTGACCTTGGAAGGCCAGCTGAGGGGCTGACTCATGTTTTAAGTATGACCTATACTAAGAGGCTCCATCTCCTGCTTCGCTAAATATTCTTTCAGATGGTTGCTCTAGTAGGAGGGCAAGATGCTAGCCAGGAGATGTGTGTGAGGGACAGATGGCGTGTTTGGCTTTGCGATAGCCAGGAGGATCAAGCTGGTGATTTATTCTGGGGTTTGTGAAAGGGGAGTAGACACAATTGAATTCATTGCTATTGGTGCAAGCTCAGTCACGTGGCCATAGGACACTTAAGCGGCTGAAGCCAGATGGGGTCATAAATCGCCAGGTGAAATACCAAGCAACCCTTCTGGAGACAGCATCAGGAGAGACGCCGGAGTGACCGACCTCTTCACTTCCTCTCTGCCCTTTTGAACTTGTGTCGTTCATTCCCATGTGATCACTTGCTCTGTATCATTAGCAACAACTGAGTCAAGAATGCAGCAAATGCCTCCCAAATATGTCGTTCAGGAGGACAGGAACTGTATCTTGGGGACACTATTTCTTCCTTCTCTTTCGATAACTGAGTATTTCCTTTCCATTGTCTTTTTGTTGGATGCTATCCATTACCAGTTTCCTAGTCATCAAACACAGAGCAAGAAGGGAACTTCCGGCAGGCAGGGTCGGGTCTTAGCTAGCCACTTTTCATATTAGAGCAAATTCTTGACAATTCAAAGGGTTTCTCCATGATGACCAAGGCAACCCTGTTCCCATGCCATGCCAACTCTTCTTTCTACCAGGTAACTGCCAGATTCTGGGAACTTTCTTAGTATCTAGCAGTGGTAGGCCACAAATTGAAATATTTCAGAATGGTCTTCACTTTGAGAATGCATTCAGTTTCAATATCTTGTATGAGTGTCAGAACTTAACTCCAAAGAGGGGTCAGTGGAGACCCATGAAGACCCAGAGAGGGGACATTAAAAGGGGCTAGGGTTGTGTTTCCTGGAGAAACACAGACTAAAGGTCTCAATTCTCTCTCTCTCTCTCTCTCTCTCTCTCTCTCTCTCTCTCTCTCTCCCCCCCCCTCCCCCCACGAGTGTCGGTGTGTCTGCCCTCTGGTGTCAGCCTTTTTCTTGCGTCTTGCTTGAACAGTGCATGTTTGTTCACTAGTGTCCCTCAGACTAGCTCAGAAGCTTCCATTGCTTCCCCTATATCTTCTGCCCATTTCCACATACAGGTCCATCATAGAGAGGTTTACAGACTTGTGATTTTGCCTCAGTTCTGGGCACCTGAACGTGGTTCCATCGAGCTTGTGAGGCAAACACCTTATTTACTTACCCATATTGCCAGTCCCCTGGACTTCTTAATACTTTAGGAGTGAAACTATTTCTAAGTCAGAGGACAGAAACTGGCTGCATCCTCCACTGGTTGGAAGAAATGTGTCCACAGGACAGCAGGAAGTGTAAAACTGAATTTGAGATGTTCCTGGCAGTTGGGGCTGTGGCCTGGGAAGGACCTTTCTGAAGGGAAGGATGGTGGTGTGGTGTCAGGATGTCCCTGCACACTTCCTACGCTAGTAGTCACGTGTGTGTGTGTGGGGGGGTCCCACTCAAGAGATAAGACAGTATCACATTTTGTCTCATCTTCTATAGATGGTCTCACAGAAGGAAGCTGGCTGGTTCCTATAGTTGAGAGAGTCTGGAAAATCATCTTATTTCAAAGAATGTCAAAATCATCTTTGAGTTAGCCCATATGTTTGCACCTTGCACTGACTTCCCCCAGGTTGCTGGTCTTTGGCCTGCGGGCAACAGTGTGTGAAGGGGCGTTAGGAGCTCAGCTAATCTCTTGCTGCAGCCCTGTTACCATTCAAGTGCTTACAACCCTGTGTAGCAATGCCACTATCGTATCCATTGTACAGACGGGAAGACTGAGGCTTTCAAAGGTTTAGAGCCTCAGGCCAGGATTCCACCCCAGCTGACAATGAGCCAGTGAGTTTCCTCAGGCCCATCTCAGTTCAGATCTGCTCTCATCAGTCCTGGAAATATGACCTCACGTCTCCGAGCCTCAGTTTCCTTCTAGAAATGGAGAAAATAAGCTTGCTGTGGAGTGGGGAACATTTCCAATGCCGAGCGAGTTCAGGACCCGAGCAGGAGCTGGGTATACTGACTTCTGTGGCAAGGGGATGGTACCTAAAGGAGAAACTCCAGTCTCACACAGTGTCTGTTCGGTTCCGTCATCCCCAGCCTCTGCCTTTCTCTCTCTCTCCCGTTCCTTGGGCTTTTCCTGGTTGGAGCCTCTCCCTTCCCAGTGTCCCTGGTTCTAATCAGGCCTCTCTTCGTGACAGGCAGGATGTTTGGCGGCTCAGCGTCCCTCTGACTGATGTCGCCTGTTAATTCCTTAAATTTACATATCGTCTTTCTTCCCTGGAGCTCATAGCACTTAACAGACAAGTGGGGCACAAATGATTTAACTGAGTGAAATCCAGAGGCCTGCTTGTCTGGAGACTCTGCAAACGCGCGGATTAGCCCAGACGTCAGTGCTGAATTATGATCCTTCAGCTGCTCGTGCTTAGCACGCCACTAGCATTAACTGGGTTCTTGCCGTGGTCCTGTAAATCATGCATACTGATTATCAGCCTACTGTGAGGGGAGGGGGACAGAGAAAGGAGGGGGCTCGGGGGCTCCGGACCAGCTGACTGGGAAGCCTTTGGCCTGGCTCAGTTCTAATGACAGGGTGGCTAGCTGAGATAGACCCGGATAAAATCCTCGCAGCCAGCACTTCACACCCCACACGCTTTTGGCTTTCCCAGTTGTAAGCATTCTGCTATGATTCCTTTGCTTAAGAATGCAAATTCACACAAGTGACAGAATTTCCGCCAAGCAATTCTCAGGCAGCAAGCGGGTCTTATTTGTGAAGCTGCGAAGGGAGAAGGCTGAATAAGAAGTCTCTCAAACGTGCTTTCCTTTGTAGATGGGGTGGGAAAAGGAAGGACTTACAAGTTACTGGAGCACAGAGGATCGGGGGACCCTCAGCGGCCTTGCCAGCCTGCTGGGCGCCTCCACAGGTTACCCTGGGTGTGAAGTTGCCTCACCTTTAAAAGGGGGCTGTTGGCTCAAGAAAACGGCAGCAATGGCAGAAGGATTGCATGAATCTGAAGGCTTGGCAGAGTCTAGCAAAGTCTCCCTCTGTTCTCATTCTTTCTTCCTCTGTGTGTTTGCCATTCATTCATTTATTCATTCATGAAATCAAATTTCCCTGAGTAGTGTGATATACATGGACTAAGAGAAGGAGAAGCATGCAGTATTAAACCTTATATGTGCAGGACAGTCGGGGATGGAGAGTATAGTGTGACTCAGCAGGCGAATGTGCTTGCCCCAAACCCAATGGCTAGACTTCAGTCCCTGAACCCACATGGTCGAAAGAAAGAGCCAACTCCCGCAAATACTCCTCTGACCTCCATGTGTGCATTGAGGTACACTCATATGCACAAACACATGCACACATGTGAACATACGCACATACATATACATTAAGTAAATAAAAATATTTTTAAAAAAATCTTAGATGGTCAGAAAGACACATATGACCCAGTTAAGAGTATCAGGCGGTGGGTAGTTACCATGTGGTGGGTAGTTACCTCAAATCCTTTGAAAGGTGCAAGATCAGTAGTATAGCTAACAAATACTTGAGTTGCTGAGAAAGTGGGGGTGAATATTACATGTGCCAAGAGCTGGGCCATGTGGAGAAGAGGAAGAACCAAGAGGTGTAGGCAAGCTGAGACAGCGAGGCAGCAGACCTAGGGGGAAGCTGGTTTCCCTCAAACAGAGAGTGACTGAAAGGATTTGGGACAAGACCCCTGCAGACAGCTGAAATAAAGAGCTTACTGTGGAAAAGTGGGGTATCCCTCAGTTAAGTCCGGGCTCTACTTCTGAACAGTCATTTCCTCCTTGGCCAGGTCCTTTAACCTTTCTTGGTTTCTTCATTGTGTGCAAAGTAAAATTAGATGTCTTAGCTTGCACGCATAGAGCGAGCATGAGATAGAATAATACACACTAGTGTGCTTCGTAACCTGTAAAGCAGTGTGCAGTCTCGAGTTGTAATTATTATCATTAATACTGGTGGCAGAAAGATCTGATGGGGAAACAGAGGGTTGGAGGACCTCTGAGTGTCTGGTGATGCTATCAGCAGCCCTTCCTCTGCAGACCCCATCATTAGCGACGCGCTGTGGAGGCGGCCTCCTCTCCCTTATCTGTACCTGGAACAGGCCTGCTGCCGGAAGGTCTGCTATAGGCTTAGCCCTCACCTAGCAAGATGATGCCAGCAGATGTGACAGCAGCAAATCAGACATCCCCAACCCAGAGAGGGTGCTTGCCCCGGCTTCTGGAATGCGAGCCTGTCCTTCCCCAGCAAACCCAAGGTTTCACCATCCATATTGACTGAAAAGCTCTGTGCCCATGTCTAGGCTAACGTGGCATCATGTTAAGAAGAACTAAAGTGTCTGGCCTGCTCACATCCCAAGCTGGATACATACTGAAAATATGTCCCTGCCCCCCTTATACGCCTGGCAGAGGAGTTTAGCAGACCATGACCCATGTCTCAGGGCCCAAGGCAGATTGTGAGACCTCCCCTTTCTCCTCTGTGCACTTGCTCTCTGCTCACAGGCTGGAGTTGCCTGTCTCTGCACCCGTGTCTGTAAGGCCTAGGTGCTGCCAACCGTAACGAGAGCTCAGCCTTCTGCATAAGGATCAGATGGATTTAAAACCAGTCTGCCAAAAAGGCCGTTCTTGAAGCATTTGGACAGTGAACCCTTAATTTCCCAGGACATGTATATTCTCTGATAAACGCATAGCCTTTGTTAATGATAATGGCCATACCTTTCAACTCTCTGGAGCTGTATGTGCACGGCTGCTTGGGAAAAGCCAAGTCCAGGAAGAAAGTGAGATGTCCGGCCACCCCCACCCCTGATCTGCTTTAAGTTGACATGAGTGTCTGGGTGAGAGTTACTGAGGCCCTGGCATCATCTGGCAGAGACAGAAGGTTTTTAATGTCTTCCATTTGGACAGTGCCCAGCCAGACAACAAAGACTCGAAGCATAAGCCACCTGGCCAGAGTCACCCTCCAATCCAGCAGCCACTACACCCCTATAAACTGTCTCCTTATAATTTAGTTCGTAAGACAGCACTGACCGTTTGGGTAAGCTAGAGATGAATAAGACATGGGCCAGGCCTCTTAGAATCTAGAGAGAAGAGACAAGCTTGTACACAGGCAAGGTTTCAAGTTGACCATGGCAGGGACTATATATGAAAGAGATATGACCCAAATGATCCAGAGACCTGGGAGAGGGTCCCATGTGACTGAAGATGGAAGAAAGAGCTTCAAGAAGATGCAACATTTGAATCAAGACTCTGAGGGAGCCTTAGAAAAGAGCTCAGCAGGCCCAACATGGTGGCACACACCTGTAGTATGAGCACTCAAGAGGCAGAAGCGGGAAGGTTGTAAGTTCAAGGCTAACCTGACCTACATAGCAAGACCCAACATGTTTCAAAACACCGACAACACCCCAACTCCAGCCCGACCTTCTGATGGAGGGGTCACAGTTACAAAGTGGTATATTTCCCAAGCATTTACCACCTGTATTTGGATTTGTCTTCCCCAGATGACAAGAACTTCTTGAGACTACAGAGTGACAGCCAGCGAGAGGGCCAGTATGGGCGGCTCATCAGCCCACCGGTGCACTTGCCCCGAAACCCTGTGTGCATGGAGTTCCAGTACCAAGCGACAGGCGGCCACGGGGTGGCACTGCAGGTGGTCCGGGAAGCCAGCCAGGAAAGCAAACTCCTTTGGGTCATCCGTGAGGACCAGGGCAGTGAGTGGAAACACGGCCGCATTATCCTGCCCAGCTATGACATGGAGTATCAGGTGAGTCGGGGGAAGAAAAGGGCTCAAGATGCGAGGGAATCATTGTGATTCCTCTTTCAGTATTTCAAAGAGCCTTGCCCATTCATCATTAAGGGACGTGGTTAAGCTCCACTGTTTTCATTGTGTTTCTTTTGTTGCTATGGCAACTAAATGACACTCTTATTTGTTATTCAGAATGAGCCTATCTCGACACCCAGACTTGGTTCTTTGTTCCTCCTATTGCCTTTTATATTGCTGAAATTTTCTCCAACAAATGTTTCTTCTCTTCATTTTATTTTAGACTGCTATCAGGTGGACTGACAAAGGGACTCACAGGCCAGGGAAATAAACACAAACAGCCCCTCTACATCCAAGGCAGTGGGGCTCTCAGAATGGGGGAGGCTGGGCCATGCCCCCCATACCTGCTCCAGAGAGCAGGAATCCAGGAAGGGCCGCAGATGGATAGACATTAAACTCTGTGGCCAGTGGACCTGGGAGAGCCCAAAACAAGTGGTTTCTCTCGCTCTCTGTCTGTCTCAGCTCCCGGAATTACTTTCTGTTATCTCTATCCCATGGAACAGGAGGCTGTGGCACGGATGGGCACACACATCTGTAGCCGCATCTTGGGCAGGGGTAGACAGACACACTGTGGATGAGGTGACTGAGAACCGGCCAAAGCATTAACCTGCTCCTCCCCAGATGAAGAGCAGCAACAGATGGCTGGTCAGGCAGCCAACTGCTCCTTCCACTTGCCAGAGGACATGTGCTCGTTTGCAGAAAGAACCTGGGGAGGCTGAGAACGAAGAATAATCACAGACCACAGAGCTGAGGGCTTCCGTGTGCACGCTGAAGCGTCCTGAGATGCTGGGTCCCCACAGAGCTGAGGGCTTCCGTGTGCAGGCTGAAGCGTCCTGAGATGCTGGGTCCCCACAGAGCTGGGGGGCTTCCGTGTGCAGGCTGAAGCGTCCTGAGATGCTGGGTCCCCACAGAGCTGAGGGCTTCCGTGTGCAGGCTGAAGCATCCTGAGATGCTGGGTCCCCACTTGCTAATGTTAGTGCTGGGATTAGAAGACCCATTGGAGTTTTTGTCTCACCCCCTGTAGGGTGGGCTTCTCCAGGTAGAGCTCTTGTCTTCATAGATTTTGTTTCTCTCTCACCTGCGTGCCTAAAACATAGTAGATGTTCAGTAAGCGGTTTCCTTGTTGTTGTATTAATGGATCTCTGAGTCAGTGTGCAGTGAGCAGTCACCTAAAAGGCAATGCAAGCCTAAGGACCACATGTTCCTCTTTACCTCACCTGCTCATGGCCTCTGAGTTTTCACATAACCTAGGTTGAGAATTTGAAGGATTTATGAGAAAGAAACCTCAGAAATAACTAGGGAAATTTTAACACCCCCCCTTATGTGTGCTCCAATTGTGGTCCTTTTAATCAGTATATTCTTGTTACTGGACAGCAATATCCATCAACTTACTATATTTTCTTATCCTCTCAAATATGCACTTGATTTGAACCAACTCTTTTTAAATTAAGATCTCAAGAGATGTAGCCATGTGGTCCACAGATGTGTACCAGGTGCAGTGACTCACACACACACACACACACACACACACACACACACACTGGCTGTTAGCAGAAGCCGGGAGTCTTTACACTAACCATGGTTCTTGTCCTTCTGGCTCTAGATCGTGTTCGAGGGAGTGATAGGGAAAGGACGATCGGGAGAGATTGCCATCGACGACATCCGGATAAGCACGGACGTCCCCCTGGAGAACTGCATGGGTATGCGACGACCTCGCTCTTTGTGACAAAAGGCAGCAACTGCTTTCTTAGAACACAGTGTTCCCAGTAGGTAGGGCTGTGCCAGTCTATAGAGGAGGTGAAATGCGGGCACAGTTGTGTCTCGGGCTGAGGCTGGGGGGGTATGGTATGAAGTGAAGGTTTATATCCATCTCCCAATCAGAAATAGATGTGCATTAAATATGTGAGAACTCAGAGTGCCAAGACCCCAGCATCAGACTCCAGTTTTTAGCCAAGAAAATGCTACAGGACGAGAGTGCCTGCCAGTCAGAATTACATGCTGGAAAGGGTTGATGGACTTAATGGAAGCCTTCAGTGGTGGGCAAAAATGGTACACATGCTATATAAGAATGATAACAAAATTACCCACGCCGTTCTTTCACGTGAATGAACTGCAGGGAAAATTATGGCGTAAGAAATAAAATGTTACATTTTGTTTTCAAGCTGATACTTCTAATGCTCAAGAGTCTGGAGTTGTAGGGTTAAGCGTGGCATACCACAGGACCGGTTTAGAAAGGACACCCCTAACTAGCTTTCTGGTCAGAAGTCCTGCGAACCAGCCCTTCTGAAATGCGCATAGTTTTGCTCAAGGCTTCATCCTGAAGCAGGGGTTTCCCTAAGGGGACTCTGACCACTTCCCATCAGAGCCGTGGATTTTTCCCCAAACAGAAAAGGATCCTGAGAAGGAAAAGGCTTGACTCCAACTAGCTGAGTTGCTGTAGTAAATGACCAAGTGCTTTCCTTGGACTTTGGGTCCTGGGTGTCTGTTCCTAGATGCAAGAAGCAACTGAGACTTCCCCAGTCCTCCAGGCAACTCTCAGGGCTTGGGCATCTAAAAGTAACCCCAGGTCTGAGAAAGTAATCAGTACTAAGTTACTGATTACAATGCCTTCGGGACCCGTTACTCTATGAAGACTTTTTTTGATCCAAAGCAACTTGAGAATCCTCTCTAGTCAGCCTTGCCCAGTGATATTGGACACAGTCTAGAAAACGTGCAAGAAGTGGGCTACTCTCTGTAGTGTATTATCAAGTGACCTTACAGACGCCATCTTTGTTCGTTCAATTATTTCTTCCCTTTCTCTAACTCAAAGTTGTTGTTTTTTTCTTTCTTTCAGAACCCATCTCAGCTTTTGCAGGTGAGGATTTTAAAGGTAAAAAAAATGCTCGTTTTGCATGGCTTTTTCTCTTTCCATGTGATGTGAATTTGGTGAGGGGAGCAATACCCGGTTTGACAAAGCTTGCAGGAGAAAAAGGATGCTCCACTTTCTCACCACTAGGTGGCGCCAGCGACACCCATAGTTACTGGGGATTGAGATTGTCAATGTCTCACTTAATTAAAGTTTAGAAACCTATAATAGAGACAAATAGGTTACAGATAAACCTTTGAGCCTTGCATTGTCCAACTGGGACCAATGAGGTTGAAAATTCAGGAGTGGTGAGAAAGGAGAGGCTATGGGAAGATCAACACCACACACACACACACACACACACACACACACACACACACACTCTATGAGGGAAAAATATCCATAGTAAATTAAAAGTGAAACAAAGTGGCAATGCTTGGTTTTAGGCTGAAGATGGTGTTTTTTTCCTGCTCCAGGGAAGCAAGGCCGTGGTGTCAGTTATCCCACAGTGAGGTGTGGAGGCAGGCGTTCTAGGGAGGGAGGAGTGGTGCTGGATTCAGAAACTAGGAACGGGAACAAGGGAGTATCTTCCCTGACTAGAGGCCAAGCCCTTGCCTGGAAGCAGAAAGGGGCATTTTCTTCCTAAGAAAGCAAGTGGAGAACAAAGCAAAGCAGAGGGAAATTGGGATGCTTGTCTCGTCCTAGGAAAGAGCAAAGGACGGCCCGGCTGCAGCAGAGGTTCTGCTTGCGCTGCTCAGATGCAGCCGGTTTGCTCTCTGCAGCCTGGCTGCTGATGCGCCCACCTAAGTTTTCACCCAGGTTTCTAGCACTGAGCACTCTGTGGCGTTGTCCAGGCTAAGTGCCCCCCTGCAGCTAGCCGACGGCAGCATGTTCACAGACCCTCACCTGATATGGGTCCCAGCCGTGTGAGGGCTGTCAGGCCCTGTTTGTGCTGGCTAGTCGTACCCTTCGAGGTGACAGCACGTTAGAGATCAGCTTCACCACTTCATCCCCACGTCTCCACGTGTTATCCTTGCTCTCATTAATCTGTCCAGCTCCTGACTAGAAAGAGATGACTTGACACCTAGACAGTCTTCCTGAATACAAGTCATCTTGCCTAATTTGCCATTTGTCCTTAGCTCTAAGATGAACAGCGCGGGGGAAGTCGTAGAACAGAGGGCCAGTATATGTTTTCTTGCTTACCCTCTCTGCCGTTTCCCCGCATTTGAAAGTATTGAATATCCGTGCGCACATCTTACCACTCCCTGGGGATGGGGCTGAAGATGCAAGGCACTGTAAGGAAAACCGAGGTCCAGACTGAACAGCTTGGGTCACAGTTGGGTTCTAACCTTCAGGATGCAGGGTAATTCTTGTGCTGGGGAAGGGAAGCCCATTCCTGACTCTCAGTGGCTTGTTGAGCCTCAAAGCTCCCAGAAAGGCCAGTTCAAGACTGGTCAATAACTGTTCTGACAGTTGTGCACATAGCCTGTCTGGTCATGACTGACAGGAGGAGTGGCTGAGGGCTTCCCTTCTGTAAGAGAACAAACAAACCAAGCACATGCACTTTCCTTGAAGTCATGTGCAGCATGAGGCTGCACACCCTAGGCCTGTTCGCCTGCACAAAGATATATAAATAAAGTCTCGTTTGAGTGGCAAATGTGCACTTAGGCTAAATAAACACAGGGCTCGGGGGCTTGAAGGTAAGACTTTCCAGTAGCTTATAATCCTTTGGGGCTGTGCAGACAGGCCTCGAGTTGCAAGCGTTGATGACGGCAGGGAGGCAGCCAAGCCTTAGTGGGGAACAGAATGGGACTTGGAAGTTTCAACCACACTGACATGTTCCTTGATGCTTCTGGATGTGATGAACCTGGGACCAGGCGTTAGGACCTTTCCTCAGGCCTCTATCTTCACTCAAACAAAGGTCTCTCCATTTGGAAGACATGCCTTTTGTTCTCTTCCTGGGCAGGAAAGTAGGGGCCTCTTGCTTAAGATGGGAAATCACTCATTTTACTCAAAGCAGAGAAGCAGAATGAAATTGGATTTGGGCAAGCAAGGTAGAGAGAGGTGATGTGGGAACACTGCTTGCAGCTGCCATTTGCATTGCTTCTGGGCCTTTAGAATTAGGCTGTTTTCTTTTCCATTATAAACTAACCATGCAGCAGCAGTAATCCCATTCATTGAGGGAGATCGGTGTGCTCTTGGTGGATCTTTAGGGAAATGCAATAAAAAGTGGTCTTTGGACCTGTGCTGGTGACTGCTCTTGATCTTTCTCTTTTTGAAGGTTTTTTTTTTTTTATTTTCTGCAGTTAGCTGGTTTCTTGCCATGAACCTCTGTCATTTTATTCTAATTGCATTGTGCTTTCTGCTTCATTACCTGCACTTGGGTTGTGTACCTGCCTGTGAGTTAGTGTTGAACATGAACTGTGTAGAGAAAGAGGAAACAAGGAGAGGGGAAATACTGTATCGGCATGCCATTCTTAAAAAGATTCTCTTGTTGTTGGTGCGAGTCGTATTTTAAACAATGTATCGTGGGTGTGCTCCCTTACTTTCATGAGCAGTGGCTAGAAACGTGGTGTGATGATGGATCTTTGTTCTTAAGGTTTGAGCTTTAACAAATGAAAAACTGTGTATAAATGGAAAGTGGGGAGACTAAAAAGTGCTATAATTAAAGTGATGGGTTGTTTCCTCAAAATCAATGCTCAATAAGAGAAAAAAATCAAGCAAGGAGCCAGTAAAAATGTATAATGCCCATAATCAGAGTTCTGTGCCTGTTGACCAGCTGGATATTTTGAGCAGCTTGTAGCGGAGGCAAGAACTGCTGCTGCAGCAGGAGCAGGCTGTACCTGGCTAGAGACGGAGATCCAGGCAGGGTCGCACTGTGAATGTGGTCTTGAGGTGGGGTACCCTGAACTGCCTTCTTACTAAGCACCCTAAAAGGAGTCTATGTATGTCCTGAGAGTCCGATGGTTGTGACTGTGTCTCCAACCATTTCTAAGAGTGTCGTACTGCATCTTTTGCCTTCCTGCTGCCCCCCACAATTTCCATCTGGGTATAACCAGGAGAAAATGATGATCAAAGGCTGTCCCCTGGGCATGGCTGGGAACCACTTTAAGATGAAATCTGAGGTGACTGGTACCTGACTCCATGCCTCATATTTGGAGCCAATTTATTTGGGCCCTACAGACAGTCTGCCACTTTATAGCCACATCTCTTTTTCCATTCCCACCCTCATTCCCATGACCCACCTCCCATCCAGAAACTCTGCCAATACAGCACTCTAGTCCCTGGGCATGAGACAGGATGGCCCCATCGGGGTGCCTTTCTCATTGGACTTCCTTGCCTCTGTAGTGCTGCCTCCTTGGAACTCTTCTGGAGAAGCAGAGAGGGTTAAATCGAATTCTTGCACTGCATCCTTAGAGAAGTACACTAAACCCTGCCAGGCTCCAGACAGGCAGCTGTGCTGTGAGAACCCTCCCAAAGCCCCGCCCCCATCTCCAGCTGCCAAGTAGAGGCTAGGTATTGCAAGCAGAGAGAACGCAGAGAAATGTGTGGAACGACCATGTGATGTTCCATCACCATCTCTGTCCACAGGACCCCGAGACATTGTTTATGAAGTTTACGTGCATACTCAGCCTCTCCTGTCACAGAAGCTAGATTGATTCCCCTCCCCACACCTGCATCTACGGCAGCTAGCTGCCAGGACAGTCCGAGAAAGGGCAGGAGAAAATGCTCCTCCCCAGCCCCTCTCTCCAACAGCACAAAGTGGCAGGCCTCAGTTTTATAATGTAGCCTCAGTTCCAGAAGGAGATGAGAAATACCTGCTCCAGTCAGATGAGGGGCTGAATTTAGAGGTATTTCAAATAGACACGGGGAAAGGGACAGAGTGGGGAGTCCCCCAGGTTACTGCCCATTCACTGAAAACCTCTGATGAACCCATCTCTATGTACTCACTCGTCCAACAACTGGAAAGTTATTCTCAGGGCGCTTTGGATTTCAGCAACCTTTAAGCTGCACAGGAGACCTGGCCACATCCTTCCACTGCCTTCTATAAATTTTTCTAGTGGATCCAAGTTTTTTCTTTTGTTTGCTTAATCCCACAGATGAAACAAACCATTCACCTCCATGTCCCTTCAGCCGTGCTCATTCTCAGCTGGACAGAAAGGCCCCATGCCAGCACCTAAAATAGCTTTTAGGTACAAAGAGACCCAATTCCAGGTCCTGGTGGCATTTTATAAATGTGGCTGTGAGAGATGTTTGCTGTTTTTGTGGTGAGATGGTGTCAGGTCAGTTCTCTGACAGGTTCAGACAGAGTGGAAGGCAGGAAGGGAGAGAGGGCTGCTTCCTGTTCCTGCCTTACTGTTTTAGAGCAAAATCTGCAAACATGGTGCTATGAAAGACCAGGTAATAAATATCCCAGGCTTTGGAGACACATAGCCTTTTGGAAAGCTCTCTGCCCTGCCACTGACGCTAAGAGGCAACCGCAAGTAGTGTGTAAACTATGAAGATGGCAGTGTTTAAATAAAACTTTACTTAAAGAAACTGACAATTAGCTGAGAATTCTGTGTACCTGGTTTCACGTCTGACTTAATCACTAAGCAGTAAGCAGTTCTTCAGGGCGCTGAGCCATCCCTTGGGCTTCCCTATGTGTTTGCTACTTTGCCCTCTTCCTTTGTTTTCCAACTGCTCATCCTCTTAGGCCCTCACATCCCCCATGTCAGACAGTTCAGGTGAAGCCATGAATCATGGGTTAACACACTGAACGCAGCTTCACTATTCTTACAGCCACACTTCCTAAATCATTAAAACCTAATTCATTAAATCAGTGACACTGTTAACAGGAATGGAAGGCTCACTACCAAACAGGTAATTTCTTTTCATTTTTCCCATATGTGACTTTTCAGAATTGGTTTCTCAAAATCTGAATTCTTTGCATCCACATGTCTCTTCTCCAGAGAGTTCAGAACTTTTACAGATGGGAGTCTGCTCAACCTTGGAAATACACTTTGGAGTTATTGACTTTTTAA